AGAGAAAAGGAAAGACAGAGAGAAAGTCTTTCATCTGTGGGTTCACTCCCCAAGCGGTTGTAATGGCTGGAGCTGATCTGATCTGAAGCCAAGGTCTTCTTCCTCCAGGTCTCCCACGCGGGTGCAGGGTCCCAAGGCTTTGGGCTGTCCTCGACTGCTTTCCCAGGCCACAAGCAGGGAGCTGGATGGGAAGAGGAGCAGCCAGGACTAGAACTTGTGCCCTTATGCGATCCTGGCATTTCAAGAGGAGGCTTGTCCTGACAGGCCACAGTGTTATCCCCAGAATATTCTCTTAAGGAAAAACAAATCACATTTTGAACACCGTAAAACTTAGTAATAATGTTTTTGGGGCCCCTCCTCCCTGGCTGTCATCTGCGAGTGTTGCCGTTTAAAAACGGGAGAAGTGACCGAGTCGTTCTGTGGCTATGATGGAGGCCATTGAGTTTCCAGTGCGGGAAGTTTGTGGGGAATCCTTCTTAAAGGGCCTGAGATCCCAGCCTCCTCCGGCTGGCAGCTGAGGTCGTCACTTCGCGGTATATGTATCATACATATATGATGTCCTCAGGGACCGTCATGGGCAATCACTCCATCCGTTTGCTGGGGAGGAGTGTGACGTTTCAATGCACAGGTGCAGCGTGGAGGTCACGGGCTCAAGCGTTCTGGTGGCAGTACTGAGCCTGTTGCAGTAATCCGGTCTTTTAGTGCTTGTCACGCCTCCCCGGGGAGTTAACACACAGTGGTGTAAGTTACAGGACGGCCGGCAGAGGGCGGTAGTGCTGTCTATTGTTCCCAGCAAGGTCCGCCTGCTGCCCCAACCGACCTACATTTTACATTAGGACTTAGAGCTGCGCGCCTTTGCTTCTAAGCTCTCCTGATTGAACTCGCATTTCCTGGCACTCCCTCCATCCTCCCGCGACTGCCAGGGGGTGGTGTTGCTGCTTTTATTACTTTTATTGCCTGATGTTGGATTTGTCAATGAACTCCTCCACCCCGTTAGGCAGAGGCAGGAGGCGGATTTTTACAATGGACCAGAGGAGAAATAGTTCAGCCCTTGCAGTTGCTTAATGGATTGTGAGCACAAACGCAGTTGTACAATTTTTTTTTTTTCACATGGCTGGAGCTGGGGAGGTCCGAAGCCAGGAGCTGGCATCACAGATGGAAACCTGATCGACTGTGGCATGGCGGGGCGAGGGGAGGGTGGCAGAGGAGAGGAAGATCCAGTAGATGATTTTTAAAGAACTGGGAATGTTACATCCCAACAAAGCCTTATTTGACACTGACATTTGAGTTTCGTGTGGCCCAGTGCGATAGCGTAGTGGTTAAGGTCCTCGCCTTGCATGCGCTGGGATCCCACGTGGGCGCCAGTTCTAATCCTGATGGCCCTGTTTCCCATCCAGCTCCCTGCTTGTGGCCTTTTGAAGACCAAAGGTGCAGCAAGAAAAAACTGTTGACTTGAGTTTGCGTGAAACAGAATCTCACCAGAAGCCTGGCTTCAGACCTGTGATGGGAAAGGGTGGCGCTTCACCCTTTTAAAGCGCCTTGGCGAGGCGTGTGTGAGCTGCAGCAACATAAGCACCACGCATCAGTTGTTTCATAATGCCTTGGTAAAATGTGCTGAGGGCCTTGGCCACAAGACCCCCCTCAGGACATCTGTTGCTTTCTAGTCAATTTCTTATTTAGCTGAGAGAGCTTAACAAGGCTTTGTTGTTTGTGCCTAGGATTTTATCCCAGTGATACAGTCAGACTCCTTCCCGAGATGATGTAACCGAGGAGTACAAAGCTGTCTTTAGGGGAACGTGAATGGCTGGAGAGGTTGGTTCAGGCCACTGCAATGGTAGGAAGCACGCAGAGTTACCTAGGAAAAGCAGCCAGGAAATCTATGAAATATTGGTTTGTATGTCTGGGGCAAAGTGCAAGATGGCTTGTGTCTGAAGGCAAGGAACTCTCCCCCCAACCAGACAGGCAATGTCGAAGCGATGTGTGAGTTACTATAAGGGTTCCAGTTGACCAAACCTGGGCAGCTTGGATCTCAGAAACAATGACCACAAAGGACATTAGCTTTGACCTTTGTGTCACCAAACATCGTGCCAGCAATTGCACTCCCAAACTGGCGATGAAAGGAACAGGATGGAGAACAACTCTGCTCCAGCGCATCCCTAGCTGATGAGGGCAAGTTGTTCAGACTGCAAGTCAACGGATGCAGAAGGAATGAAGAATTAGAAGAAACTTATTCTGGCTAGATCATCATCACGTACTGAGATGACCAGGGGACGTTACTGGTTAACATGGCATCCTTGCACGGCCCCCCAACGTGCCAGCCCATGGATTACTTGCTGGTCCACATTGGGGGCATCTGGCGGGCATCACCAGAACAGAATGAGCCCGCGTCACCTCCCAGCTGCCTAGTGGGTAACCTGAATCCAATCAAGCCTTTGGCTCTTTCACTTTACTGCCGCGACAGGGGATACAAAACAATCTAATCAGTGAAATCCCGACTCTGTGACTCTCTACAAGAAAACCGACTTGCCCTCGTCAGTTGGTGTTGGGGCTAGTGTAAGGTGAAGCTGCGCCCTCTATTGAGGGCCTGAGGTCAAGCCCTGGCCTTTCTCCTGTGTGCTAGCCTGCTCCGGGAGGCAGCGGTGACTTAAGGACTTGCCACCCCCGAGGAAGGGCTGGGTTGAGTTGCCATCTCCCAGTTTCAGCCTGGCCCGCTCCTGGTGGTGGTGTAGGCACGTGGGAGTCAGCCAGCAGATGGCAGCTTTGCTTCCTTTCCTCTTAAAAAAGCCCCGAAGGAGAGGAGAGGAGAGGTTGTTTTAGACAGATGCGGCAGGTGTAGCACGCAAACAGAACTGCAGGCTATGAAGACCAGATCACCAGGGAGGTTTTTGTTGTTTTCACTGCCCAAGTGGCCACAATGGCTGGAGCTGAGCCGATCCAAAGCCAGGAGCTTCTTCTGGGTCTCCCATACGGATGCAGAATCCCAAGGCTTTGGGCTGTCCTCCACTGCTTTCCCAGGCCACAGGCAGGGAGCTGGATGGGAGGTGGAGCACCCGGGATACACACTGGCGCCCATACGGGATCCCGGCGGATGCAAGGTGAGGACTTTAGCCACTAGGCTACCGTGCTGGGCCTTCATCAGGGAACATTAAACATGACCTCAATAGTCAAGCGTTATGGTAGTGTTTTTAAGGTATATAATGGAATTGTGGTTATGTAAAAGATTGCTTTCATTTTTATGGCATGTGTGCGTGAGTATTTGGAGGTAAAATGTCATCTGTATAAGTTATTTTCCAATTACTTAGTAAGAAATACAGAGAATGTTCATTTTTAAACCTAGGCGGTGAACAGTTTGTTATTTAAGCTTTCCCATTTATTTGATAATGTTCATAAGAAAGACTGTGGTAAATTAAGATTTGCTTAACAAAAACGTGAATTCCTCATGGATCAGACAACTTGTGAAAAGCGGGGAGAAAAGACGAAGATTTAGACTGCTTCCACTATTACTAGTCTGTTACTTTATAAGGGCAACACTTGCCTCCGTGTGTCTGTGGAAGACTTTATACACAGGAAATAGAAACAGGGGCACAGGACGGTGCTACGGCGGTAACCCTGCACACATTCACTCTGAGTGCTAGGGACAGGTACTGTGGCCTTGTGGGTAAAGCTCAGCTGCAGCGCTGGCATCCCATGTGGGCACTGGTTCCTGTGCAAGCTGTTCCACTTCCCTCCAGCTACCTACAGACACACCTGGTAAAGCAGAAGATAGCCAACCAGATGGGATATTTACAAGAAGCTCTAGGGTCTGGAGCAGTAGCCTAGTGGCTCTCAAGTCCTTGCCTTGCATGCACCACGATCCCATATGGGTACCAGTTTGTGTTCTGGGAGCTCCAGCGGCCCTGCTTCCCTTCCAGCTCCCTGCTTGTGGTCTGGGAAAGCAGTCGAGGATGGCCCAAAGCCTTGGGACCCTGCGCCTGCGTGGGAGACCTGGAAGAAGCTGTTGGCTCCTGGCTTCTGGCTCAGCTCTGGCCATTGCAGCCACTTGGGGAGTGAATCATCAGATGGAAAATCTTCCTCTCTGTCTCTTCTCCTCCTCTCTGCATATCTTTCCAGTAAAAATAAATAAATCTTAAAAAAAAAAACAAACCAGCAGCTCTAGTCTCCTGGATGTGGCATATCCCAATGGAGGCTGTTGTGGCCATGTGGGGAGTGAATCAGTGGATGGAAGATCTCTCTCTCTCTCTGTCTTTCTGTGACTGTTTCAATTAATAATTAAATGTTAAAAAAAAAAGACACTAGCAAATGCTTTGTGAAGGGTGCAGTGGCATTAAACAGCTTCAACACAACTAAATTTATTCATTAAGTAGGAAACAAAATGTGAATGCTTTGCAGCCTGTCCCTTGCGAAGGACCCTGTGTGATCAAAGCTGGCCAATTCAAGGAGAAGCAACGCTTTCTTAACAAAACCCTTAGCAGTGGAGCCTTGGAGATGCTGCCACTTCAGGTGGGTTCCATGTTCACAGCAACGCTCTCAAGTGAAGTTGCATGGCCAATGTGAATTCACTTGGGCATTTACGGTACTAGAATTGGCTTTTACCCATTCTGCTCAAGAAAATTTCCTGTGCGGAGATGCTTCATGCTTTCTCATCTTCAGGTTATCCCCAAAAACCCAACCGGCATTTGGGTGAACATTTCGCCCACACATGCGCATGGGGTGGGTCGCTGGCTGAGTGTTGAAAACACCTGCGCTCGCTCCCTGGCTCCAGCTCCCTGGCTCCAGCTCCCTGCTAAAGCGCATCTGCATCATGGGAGGCGGAGGCGACCCGCAGCGCCCCTGCCTTTCACGTGGAGACATGGTCCGGTCCCCAGCTTAGCCCAGTCCTGTCCGTCCACTTGCAGACCCTGGGGAAGCGAACCAGGTCCAAGCTAGTTTTCTCTTCTTCAAATAAATAATAAAATATATATGTATATTTTAAAAAAAGCACAAAGAAGTATTTTTGGTTCTACCATTTTTTTTTTTTTACTTCATGCCAGTCAATTCTACTTTATTACTCGACTCTATATAAATTTATTCATCATTTCATTTATCAATTCAACCGATTATGTATTGACCACGTGCTATATGCAAGGCACTGGAGAAACAAAACGAGCATGAACTCAGCTGGAATATGGCCTTCGGTCTCGACAGCAGAACACCGAGGACGCCGAGGACACTCCGTACGGAGGTGTGCTTATCCACTGGCCAGGGCCCACGGACTCACTTATCATGACTTCATGATCACTGCATATATATTTTTTTTTCAAATGCAATGTTTTTTTTTTTTCTGACACGGCATGGGTAGTTTCTACTTTGACGTATGAAGGAGTACTGGGCTGCCAACTGCTCCTTGACAAAAGGACGTCACCTAACTTGCACTGTTTTCTTCCAATGAGGCGGATTTGAACTTAGGTGAAGTCCGGCTGTGCTGTATGTGACGCTGGCTACCTGCGCCTTCTTCCCTCACTGCAGTCTGTCTGGACTCTCCCCCGCCCCACCACACTCCTTGCTGAACTTGTATCTGCTTTCCATTATGCACCTGCTACAATGTCTACAGAGCTGCCTAGCGCCGGGATGTGGGGGGACGTGGGGCAGCCCAAGGGGCAGGATCCCCATGCTCGCGCTCAAGGCAGCTCTGACGTTCAGACACTCAAGAAACGGACTCCTCTGCGTGAGGCGGTTGCAGGGAAACCGTACGTCCCAAATTTAGAAATCAAGCTGGAACTGTGTGCCTGCTTCTCTTCCCTTGAGGATGATTTTAGATGTGAAAACCCAAATGAAGTCAAAGCTGATATGGCTTAAAGATTAACTGAAGTTTAGGATGTTCCATTTTTCCTGTTTACATCTGTACACATCTGAGAATTATATACACATTAGTTTCTCTATCTTATCTGTAGCATTTCCGTATCTGTGGGAAAATGTAATTAACAGTGGTCACAAGCAAATCCTTAAGCTCCTTCCTTCTGACTTTCTTGGACCCCAAACCTACTGGCCCCACTTGGCAGTTATTGCATATCAGGACAGGGGGAGTTGGAAAAGGGGGAGGAACCCTCGATGGATTTTAAGGCTTCAAAGAGCTGAGAAGAAACAGACGTCCTACGAGAACTCCGCTGTGGTCCCAGGGGCGCGCTGTGGCGCCACATCTCTCCGCTTGGCGGACGCCTTCCCAACCTACTTTCCTAAGAGCTCATCAAGTACTTGACCTACACTCACAGATGTTACCTTACGGGTCTCTGAAAACCTGCTCTTTCTGGAATCAATTTTACTGACCTAACAATAAAGGTTAAGAAGCCAATCAAGTCTCCTTCTTAAATTTCATACTGAGTTCACGCAGGTTCTCTCCACACTACGGATTCGGATATTTCTGCAGGGTAGCATCTAACGTGTATTGCACTTCAGGTTGTTGCCTGCATACGGCTTGAACACAGGGAGCACACCCCGTCAGACGTCCGCGCGACCAAGCTGTCAGAGTCTCAGTGGGGTCCCCCCCACGTCCGTCAGTTCCGGTGTTTGGCGCCCGTGTGAACGCGCTGATGCTGAATAAGATTGGTACTCTGCGTGAAGGTCTTCGCACATATCCGGCAGGCGTAGGGCTTCTCCCCTGTGTGAATTCTCTGGTGTTGAATAAGGCATGTTCTCTGGCTAAAATCTTTATCACACTCACTGCATTTGTAAGGTCTCTCCCCGGTATGAGTTCTCTGGTGTTGATTAAGGGATGAGGAGTATATGAAAGCTTTGCCGCACTCATTGCACTTGTACGGCTTCTCTCCGGTGTGGATCCTTTGGTGCTGGGTGAGGTTCGCCCCCTGCCTATAGGCCTTCCCGCACACGTTGCATTTAAAGGGTTTTTCTCCGTTGTGAATTCGCTGGTGCTGAGTGAGGTGCACGCTCTGGCTGAAGGCTTTCCCGCACACGCTGCATTTGTAGGGCTTCTCCCCCGTGTGTGTTCTATGGTGCTGCGTGAGGTTGGCGCTCTGGCTGAAGGCCTTCCCACAGATGTTACAGACGTAGGACTTTTCCCCAGTGTGAGTGGTCTGGTGCTGTATGAGAGTGGAGGAGTGAGCGAAGGCCTTGCCGCACTCGTTGCATTTGTAACACTTCTCTCCGGAGTGGATCCGCTGGTGCCGGATGAGGTAGGTGCTCTGGCTGAACACCTTCCAACACTCGTTGCACTTATAGGGTTTCTTCCCGGTGTGTATTTTTTGATGCTGGAGAAGGTGCGTGCTCTGACTGAACGTCTTCCCGCATTCGTTGCATATGTAGGGTTTCTCCCCGGTGTGCACTCTCTGATGGTTAATGAGCGACGAGCTGTGGCTGAAGGTCTTGCCGCATTCCAAGCACCTGTACGGCTTCTCGCCCGTGTGCGTCCTTTGATGGATGGTGAGGTGGGCGCGCTGGCTGAAATCTTTGCCGCAGTCATCGCATCTGTAGGGTTTCTCTCCGGTATGGATCCTCTGGTGGATGGTGAGGTGTGCCCGCTGGCTGAAGGCTTTGCCACACTGGTGGCACTCGTACGGCTTCTCCCCGGTGTGCATCCTCTGGTGTGCGATGAGGGACGAGACGTGCCGGAAGTCCTTCCCGCACTCCTCACACTCATAAGACTTCTCTTTGGCGTGGCTGCTTTGGTGCTTCAGGAGCGATGGGTATTTCCGGAATTTTTTCCCACACACGTTACACTTGTACGGCTTCTCCCCAGGAAGTATTTTCCTGTGTACAAGAGCATAGGAGACATGGTTGAAGGCCGTCTTGCTTTCATTATACACAGCAGTTTTATTATCGGATTGGGTATCAAACTGTACATCTAGGTTTGAATGCTTTTCAAAATTATTTCTATATATATCATATTTACTAAGATATTCTTCTGTTGCATCATCTTCCGGTGAACAGACTGACTTGAAACGGAAATCAATCCCACTCGGGGCAGTTTTCCCGCAGGCTTCTGTCTCTATGGTGATGTCATAATCGTAGGGTTTCTCCACTTTGATGGGCTCGGTTCCCTCCTTTTTGAGTCTGGAAGGACCCTGTACTGGGGGACATGGCTTGGCTTCCGTTTCCCATTCTGAAATGAAAAGAATATCGTAAATTTTCCTCTACTTAGCAAAGGGAACCGCCAAAACAGAAGCAAAAGGACAAACATAAAATGACACTACAGCTCCAGAAAAGGACAGAAAAGCAGAAGCTAACACAGTTAAAAACGTAGAGGTTCCTCACCGTTCAGCACAGGTGACAGCAGATAAAATAAACCAGCTCACAGGACGCCTGCAGGAATCGCCTGTCCCTCGAACCTCTCGCTCACGCTGACAGTCAGAGAACTAGCTATACCATCACCCGGGGGAGGTGTGATGTCCCTGGGTCCCACCCAGACATTCTGACCCAGGAACTGTGGCAGCGGGGTGCAGCGGCCTTGCTGTACGCGTAAGTCTGAGGATAAAACATCTCTAGTTGACACTCCATCCCGTAAGAATCGAACCTTTCCTGTGATCTCTTTTATACCTAATACTCAACTACCTCAGGTTTAACACGTTAGCCACTGATTCCTCGCAGGCAATAGGGGCCTGCCCTTCCCAGTCTCGGCCCTCTCTCATGATGCCTTTCTGTTACAAATCACCTTACAGTCCTGCTCACACTTCTCTTGTTTCTTCTATTTCCAAGTTAGATATAAATTTTGGAAATAGTTTGGGCTTATTTCCTAATTCCTTCAGGAAACAGTACAAGATACAGTGGCCGAGCCCGGCGCAATGGCCCTCGCCTTGCACGCCCGGGAACCCATATGGGCGCCGGTTCTAATCCCGGCCGTTCCACTTCCCATCCAGCTCCCTGCCTGTAGCCTGGGAAAGCAGTCGAGGACGGCCCAAAGCTTTGGGACCCTGCACCCGTGTGGGAGACCCAGAAGAGGCTCCTGGCTTCGGATCGGCATAGCATCAGCAATTGAGCTCACCTGGGGAGTGAATCATCGGACGGAAGATCTTCCTCTCTGTCTCTCCTCTCTGTATATCTGCCTTTCCAATAACATAAATAAATAAATAAATCTTAAAAAAAAAAAAGATACAGTGGCCATTTCATGAAGTGATAAAAGGTAATAATTTGTGGGCCCGGTGGCGTGGCCTAGCGACTTAAGTCCTCTCCTTGAACACGCCGGGATCCCATATGGCCGCTGGTTCTAATCCCGCCAGCCCCACTTCCCATCCAGCTCCCTGCTTGTGGCCTGGGAAAGCAGTCGAGGACGGCCCAAAGCCTTGGGACCCTGCACCTGCGTGGGAGACCCGGAAAGAAGTTCCTGGCTCCTGGCTTCGGATCGGCATAGCATCGGCTGTTGTGCACTCACTTGGGGAGTGAATCATTGCACAGAAGATCTTCCTCTCTGTCTCTCCTCCTCTCTGTATATCTGACTTTCCAATAAATAAATAAATCTTTTTTTTTTTTTTTAAAAAGGTAATAATTTGTAAAATGGTGAACTCAAATGAAAACAAACAAGCTGTATGGTACAATGTCTTTCTCATTTGAAACTAGTGGGAAACATATAACTTGCAAATGTAAGAATTATATAAGGGAATTCTACAACATTATAAAATGTGGAATTTATAATATAGCAAAATGATACTAGATGGTTCAGAAACTTTCTAAGATATAAAGTAACTTAACAAATACATCCGTTCAATAGAGCTGCATGCATGCAGTCAGGGAAAATGACAACTATCCCTGTCAGTAAGGGACTAGAGCAGGGGTTAACGGGAGATCAGTAACTGACAAGACGAGGTAGGCGCAGGCCTAGAGTATGGTAAGAAAAGACAGGTAGGACATTGATTAACTAAAAAAAGAGCAGGTGTACATCAAGTCCATCTGTGTAAAGATGATGGTAGGTATCACACACACACACACACAGACACACACACGTAGCCCAGTGGGGGAAGGTCTTGGTAATGACCAAGGTGAGAGACAAATACTTAATTTTTTCCCCCTGTGCTATTAGAATTTACAAACTACTTACATTCAAATACAAAAATGAGTGTGGTGGGCGGGCCTCTGGCCTGGAGGGTAAGCCAGCAGAGTGCCTGGATCTGGGCTCTGGCTCCAGCTTCCTGTCAGTGTAGACCCGGGTCGGCGGGGGGGAGGACAGGTGGTAGGTCAAATCTCTAAGTTTCTCCCACTCATGTAGGAGACCTGGATTCCACGCCGGCAGTTAGCTCCGGCCTGGCTCAGTCCTGGCTGCCGTGGGCATCTGAAGAATCACTCAGCGGGCAGGAACTTGCTCTCCTTTCCCCTCTCTGCCTCCACATCTCTTTATTTCTCTTCCCCCCAAAATCTCAGTGGGCACCAGAAAATACTTCAGAGTAAAGTCATATGAAAAAAGCAGTATGGAAACATCTTAGAAGTAGAAACAGAACAGTGAAATGACAGCTTTTCCCAATTTTCAATAAATTGGGTATGTTGCATTTATTGCTATGAAGTACCAGAAATGTAATAATTTCACATTTATAGAACAAATAAAAATAAACTTAAAAATCAATGTTCTTAAACCAGGACGTTGTCCCTTCCCTGAAAGAACAATCAGAATGTGACTGAACTGTCCAGATGGGTGTATATAAACACACAGAGGATGAAGCAGGACCGGAAGCGGTGTGCCATCCATGGAGACAGTCCATGTATATGTGCAGGCAAGCACTGCAGTTGCAACGAACAACCTCAAAGCAACAAGACCAATGACTGTGGGTAACCTGTCACCCTGTAGTTAGTGCACATTTTTGAATGAACCCACGCTCTGACTTCTGAAACATTCCACCGTCCACTGTAGCACGCACACGTGAACGTGGGGCAGGAAAAAGGAGAGGTACTTTTCACAGAGAATGTTACTAACCATCTGGAAGGGAGGAACGGATTAGAAACATCACCACTTTGCAAACAGCCATGGAGTAAAATGAGGACCATCAGTGAATGCTGTGAAGTTACTGAGGAGTGGAAGAGTTACGTGGCCTCACGGTCAGCACTCCACAGACAACCTATCAACTGCAAAGAGAAACGCGCTTCTAAGGAAGCAGCCATCCTGCAGCGGACACCACGTGAGCCCCCTGGGCAGGACGGGCGATGAGACCAATCCCTGCTCTGTGCCTCTGAGAGCCTGTACTGGGGACCGCACGGCCCCTCTGCGACAGGCCTGGGCACAAACGCCAGAGCTCTGGTGAAATAACCAGGCAAATGTGGGTTGTGGGTCATGGTTCAGAAGCTAGAGCCTTTAGGAACGGCAATATGACGGAAGATCAACAAGAGATAAAGAAGAAAGGTGTGAGAGTTAACTGTTTTAAGAAGAACTGCAGACATAGGCAAGTGGAACAAGCAGGTGAAATATGAGTGCTTGCCAGTGCATCTGGCGACACGCTTGCATCAAGGTAAGACACCTGGAGTGAGGGAACGGCACTGCGTTTAGAAGGTCACGCTCTTATGGGACAGTTAGGGTTGAGATGTCACCATGCCTGTGGGAACAGTTTTCAATGTTTCACTGCAAAAATGAAGTGTGTGTATGTGTGTGTGTAAAGAGATAAAACAAAGTGGTTACGAGATAATTAATTATTGCAAGTGAAAGTTGCATAGGGGTTCAATGTATTGTGATTCCAAGTTTTCTACAGGTTTGAAATTCTTCAAAATGGAGTTGTTGTGGAAGAGGGAGAAGGGAATGAGAAGGGGGCCTGCACTGTGGTGTTACGGGTTAAGTTGCTGCCTGCAGTGCCAGCACCCACATGGGCACTGGTTCCAGTCCCAGCTACCGCACTTGTGATCTAGCTCCCTGCTACTGTTCCTTGGAAAGCAGTCGGAGATGGCACAGGACTGGGGCCTTCCGAAAGACCTGGGTGAAACTTCTGGGCCTGGGCCGCCCCAGCCTGGTCTTAATTCTTCCACAGCAGTCAATGAAACAGACCATGAAGTTCTCACTCTCTTTCTCCCCCTTCTAACTTTGTCTTTCAAATAAAAAAAAAAAAAGAGAAAAAAGAAAAGAAGATGAAATAGAAATAACCAAATAGGCCCTTAAAATAAACTGAAACACAATAAAATATGATGCATATATGAAAAAAACATGAGAAAGCTTTTTACATAGTCATTTGGAACACTTCTGCAAAATATAGTAAAAAGTACCTTGAAAACACAAAACACAGTAACATTTCTAACTAAAACAGACAAGGTACAACACGGTATGCATGACACGCTACCACTTCATTTTAAAAAATGGAGAAAATAATTATATTTTGCATTAAAAAAAAAAGATCCCACAAAAAACAAAAACCGCAAAATAAAACTACGCCCAAATACTGCGTGGCTCAGCTGGCGACATGGTTGTCGCGTACTGCCTGACTGCTACTTTTCCAATGGGACCTGCTTCTACGGGGGGGGGATCCAGCGGGGGGCTGCCTTCTGGGAAGGGTCAGGGACCGGGCTGAACGGGGTTGGCAGGTAGGCGGACCCCTCAGTGTGCTCAGACTTTCTCAGTCTTGTGTAGGGAATGGGTTAGGAGGTGGAGGAGGGGGCACAGGGACTTTCAATGAAGAAAGGAAACGCAAGGAGCAGATGTTGTGGCACAGCTCGTTAAGCCACTGTTTGGGAGGTCTGCACTGCGATGATCAGAGTGCCAGATCAAGTCCTGAGTGAACCACGTCCCATCCAGCACCCTGCTAACGCCCCTGGGAAAACAGCAGGAACTGGCCCGAGGACTTGGGATCCTGCCACCCGTGTGTGAGAGACGGAAGGAGCTCCTGGCTTGTGCCTTTACCCTGGTCCAGACTTGGCTAAGGCGGGTGTTTGGAGGGTGAACCAGTGGATGGAAAAAAATCTCTTTGTGTCTGTCATTCTTTAAAACAATTAAATGTTATAAAAAGGCTCAAAAAAAAAGAAGGTGGTCTGAAATGTAAAGTTTTGAAGAGGAGACACTGGTACAGTCCCTGGTGAAGCTCAGGGAGATGGGAGCCTGGGTCATGCAGAGGCCGGCAAGGACAACACAAGGAGAGACGGAGGGACAGGTTGGAGACGCTGCTGGCAAGCCCCGCTCCTGAGCTGACCTCTGTGAGGGGATGTGGCTGAGCTGCCCGGGGGTCCGGCTCAGCCATCTGTGCGGTGAGGCCCTTGGCCAGACCCCATCACAGCCGGGAGTTAAAGGTGCTCACGCGCTGGTTTTTCTCTCACCTTGGCTGGGGCCTTCTAAAATTTCTTTGATCACCATCCACGGTTCTTCCAGAATGGGAATCACAGTTGGTCTGTACACGGTCAGCCCTGTCCAGGAGGAATGCAATGCATTTTATCCCGGGCATGAACAGTTGGCCAATGTTTACTAGCTTCTGCTGAGGCTTCTGCACGGGAACAATGGCTCGTGGACAGGATCTAGTTCAGAGCTAGGACAAAAACTTCTTGCTGCCCAAGAGGGGAAGTGCCTGGACCGCCTAGGGGGAGAGTCCTCCCCTGGATGCAGTAGATGCGCTGAGGGATGCAGACGAGGTGGTGGCAGTCTCGGCAGGGTGGGTATCATGGTTTCAAGTGCCCTTCTGCTCAGGTCACTTCGTCTGGGCCACAAGAGGAGAACACAGCCTTTCTTGTGCCCGGGTGTGGGGGGAACTGGGACACTCATCTCTAGGATCCCATTTCAGCCCGGTGTTTTCAAGATCCAACCCATTTTTGATTACTGGGAAAAGAAAGATACTGAGGCGGCATGCTGGGAGGAGGCGGGCTAGGAACACTTCTTACCCAGAGAGACCATGTTCCAGTAGTTCTGTAAGGTCACTGTCTTGTACAACTCCTTCTGCACAGGGCGCATCAGTGCCCAGTCCTCCTGGGTAATATCCACTGCCACATCTGTGAATGTCACCGATTCCTGCAATGGCAAATGAGACTGGCTCGAGAACTAGTGGGAAGGGGAGGAGTGACAGCACGGGACACAGGTGTGGCAGGAGGAAGACTCTGCTCAAAACCCTCACGTGGAAGTAGGCGTCCGGCTCAGCCACGTCGGAGTGGCTGGGCTGGATTCCTGGCTTGGGATCTCATCTGTACCTTCCCGTTGTGGGGACACTGGGAGTCAGCAGTGACGGCTTGTCGTCGGGGCCCTGCCTCCCTCATGGGAGACCTGGACTGTCTGAGGCTCTTGCCTCTGGACTACTGCCGGCATCCAGAGAGCGAAGCAGCAGATGACAGTCCCCTTGGTCTATCGTGGTCTCTCTACCTTCCAAAGTAAAACAGAAACCCTCATCCACATGTGGGTGACCTTATAGTATCTCTTAGCGCTCCTGAAGGAAAATCTGATGATAGGGTTTATTGCTTTCAACTGGTACAGCTGCAATGGCAGCTCCGACTTAAAGCAGAAACACCTGTAGTCACAGCTGAAATCCAACATGTTACAACTTACATCTTCTTTTTACATGCTATATAGTGAAATGCAGAGTGTCTCATTCCTAAAATAAAACTGGAGTCAGGCCCAGCGTGGTAGCTCAGTGGCTAAAGTCCTTGCCTTGCACGTGCCGCCAGGATCCCATATGGGCGCTGGTTCGTACCCCAGAAGCCCTGCTTCCCATCCAGCTCCCTGCCTGTGGCCTGGGAAAGCAGTGAAGGACAGCCCAAAGCCTCGGGACCCTGTACCTGCGTGGGAAACTCCAAGGAAGCTCCTGGTTCCTGATCAACTCAGCTCTGACTGTTGTACCTGCTTGGGGAGTGAATCAGCGGATAGAAGATCTTCCTCCCTGTCTTTTTCTCAGTATATCTGCCTTTCCAATAAAAATAATTAAAGCTTAAAAACAAACAAACAAACTGGAATCAATACTCACACTATTTAACTACCACAGTTTTAGGTGCGTTATGTTCTCTGGTAATGTTAGTATTGCTTTTTGCTCCTTTTCTTCATCTAGTTAAAAAATTATTGATTATTCTTAAATTTTTCCCATGTAATTGTCACCTATTTTTTAAAAAAGATTTATTTATTTTTATTGGAAATGCAGATCAGATTTACCAGAGGATGAGAGACAGAACAAACATCTTCCATCTGCTGCTTCGCTCCCTAAGTGGCAGCAATGATCAGAGCTGAGTTGATCTGAAGCCTGGAGCCAGGAGCGTCTTCCAGGTCTCCCACACAAGTGCAGGGTCCCAAGGCTTTGGACCATCCCCCACTGCTTTCCCAGGCTACAAGCAGGGAGTTGGATGGGAAGCAGGGCTGCTGGGATTAGAACTGATGCCTGTATGGGATGCAAGGTGACGTTTTAGCCACTAGGCCATTTAGCTAGGTCCCATTTTTGGATCTTAAAGTCCAATTGGGTCTGTAAGGAGAACTGATAACTTTATAATATTCAAGGTTTTCACAAAAAGACAAATTGACATACCTATAGTATAATAAAGTACCTCAATGGGCCATGGTAACTCAAGAGAAACCGGGGCTCAGGTTTGAAGCAGTTCTGAGAGGGGGCGGGGGCTAGTGGTTACAAGGTAGCATAGGCAATGTCCTCCACACAGTAAGACATTTTCAGAACACAGAACAGACACGCAGACTCACTTTGGTCACTAGGTCATCCAGCCATCCTGCCTGGAAAGCACATCTTCCTTCGGGGTCTTCTTCGGGGGTCTTGTGGCAAAGGACCGAGTTCTGAGGAGCTGAGCAAAGAGAAGGAGACTGTGGAGCCGAGTCTTGCTGGAGATGCCTAGGAAACCACTGGCTCCACAGACGCCCACGCCGTCTTCAAGGATGGGCAGAAACCAAGCAGAAACAGCACCCCTCCCTCGCACAAGACCCCGGGTGGGGAGGCACCGTGAGCTGTCCTCACACTGCAATGCCAACATCTGAAACAAGTCTGCTAGGAGACCTTTCCCGATACCTACGACACTCCCTATATTCTACTAGATTTTTATGTGGCATACATTTTTTGATTTCTTCTTTCTTTTTTAAGAGAATCTCTTTTGAACCCTGGACCCCTTCTCCTCCACCTTTCTGGAAACAGTTCACAGAGCAAATGGTTAGTAGCAGAACAGTGCCAACCTTTCCAGGCTAACTTTCTGAGGGCTCCCCCAGGACTACTGCGGCCACATCCTTACATGACATTTCTCCTCCGGGTAGAGGTGAAGCGCTGGGTTTCCAGCAGACTGCACTGGGAGCCCCACGCGGGACGGAGAGCTTAGGTTTTCACGCACACCCTGGCTTCCGCCTTCTCGGGTTCTCTCAAAGGGGGTTGTTTTTTTTGGACGTACCACGCCTGGCCACCCAGGAATTCCTTCCCTCTCCTCTTCCGGCGCTCACCTTCCTCTTCCAGGATCTGAGTCAAGTCCTCCACCAGCGTCACGACCTCCTCGCTGCTCTCTGGATACTGGGATCGCACCCAGGTCCTCACCTCCCCGGGCAGGATGCTCAGAAACTGCTCCAAAACCAGCAGCTCCAGGATCTGCTCCTTGGAGTGGATCTCGGGTCTCAGCCACTTCAGGCAGAGCTCACGGAGCTGACTCAGGGCCTTACGAGGACCAGCCAGGTCTGGGTAGGGAAAATTCCGGAAATTCTGTCGACAGGTCTCGGTGTCCCGCAGGAGCCGTGAGGTGAGCACCTGCTTCTCCCCGTGGCGGAGACCGCCTTGCACCTTGTCTGGCTTCCACATGAGAAGGATCTGGGAGCGAGACGAAGCGGCCATCCTCTTGCTGGAGGCCAGCATGGCTGAAGGTAGGACGTTCAGGCTGGCAAATATTCCTCAGTTCTCCAGGAGCAAGCCAACTTTAAGTCTCACATGAGAGCCATGAAGGACATTCTGTCTGCCAGGGGCAGAACAACCTCAAGGCCACGTTAGTGGCTTTGCTGACGAGTTCTGAGTCCAGAATTGGGATGGGCAAGGGACCCTGAAACACAAGAACGAACCCCACAGTTGAGAATTCTGGGTGCATCCCGCTGTACAGCTAGACAAACAGCAAGACTCTCCAGAGTGTGCAGACACACTCAGCTGTACCTTGGTTTCCCACCCCCAAATCCTTTAAGGGCAATCTGCTTGGTTATGGCACTGAAGGGGTACAGCTACTGCACAGATGGTACCAGAAGAAATTTTATTTATTAATTAATTCATATTGGACAGGCAGATCAGATTTACAGAGAGCAGAGACAGAAAGATCTTCCATTCATTGGTTCATTTCCCAAGTGGCCGCAACGACTGGCAGATCCAAAGCCAGGAGCCAGGAGCCTCTTCTAGGTCTCCCACGTGGGTGCAGGGTCCAAGGCTTTGGGCCATTCTCAACTGCAGGCAGGCAGCTGGGATGGGAAGTGGAGCACTGGGGACACGAATCAGTGCCCATATGAAATTCTGGTGCTTGCAAGGTGAGGATTTAGCCTCTGAGCCATCGCTGCAGCCTCTGATAGAAGACATTTTTAAAGAATACAGAGCAAGGGATCTTGCTAATCCACCTGTAGCGCCAACACCCCATACGGGCACTAGTTCATGTCCTGGCTGCTCCACTTCCCATCCAGCTCCCTGCTTGTGGCCCGGGAAAGCAGTCGAGGACGGACCAAAGTCTAGAGTCCCTGCACCGGTGTGGAAGATCCGAAGGAAGGTTCCTGGCTAGTGGCTTCAGATCACCTCAGTTCCTGCCACTGAGGCCACTTGGGAAGTGAATCAGCAGATGGAAGAACTTTGTTCTGTCCTTCTCTCCATAAATCTGCCTTTCCAATAAAATGGTCCTTTTACATATATATAAAAAGAATCCTGAGCAAAAATGACAGATTAAAACACTTCTGCAGGAAAAGAATCATTTCAGTACGGGAGGCACTGAGGTTGCAAAGGCTTGAGTTAGCTCTCAGTAACAGTGCAGCTTCCTTTAACTTGGAACACAGGGGGAGGATTTCCTCTAGACAAAGCGCTCCAGGTTTCCACGGAGGTGGGCAGGCCACAGGGTTGATCCATTCACCGGCTTTTGCAAGTTAAGGTCGGGTGTGCCAGCCTTGCACTAGGTAAGAGGGTGGGGAGGATTGGCCAGGTGGATGCAGAGGCTGGTGGGATTTCAGAAGTCACCGAGGGGCTTCCACGGCGGACAATGCCTCCAGGATTCTAGAAGAAATCCTCAGAATCCGGGAGAAGAGGACACCACCTGTCCTCTGGCTCCAGCCCCTGCCTGGCCCTGCTCAACCAGTCGTGCCAACCGACCCAAAGGTTTGCAAGGCCCTGGAGGGAGATGCAGAGGTCTGGCCCCGTCCCCACGGTCCCCACTCCTTCCCTTTCTGGTCAGTTCCTCCTACTTTTCTCCCGCCGGATGGCCCAGGGCAGCGCAGGGGCAGTCAGGGACCCCCCAGAACGTGCCACTGCTGGGACCAGCCCCCCAATCCCACAGCAGTCCCCACCTTGTCCTCGTCCTCGGTGCAGGCCGCGAGCACGAGCTGCCGCGGGTAGCCGGGCTCGGGTGCTGACCGCTCGGACACTGGCGCCCGCCGCCCGGGGACACGGTTACCTGTCGCCGGGACCCGGCCCCCGCTCGGCCGAGAGGCCCTGGGCCACAATGGCGGCGGCGTCGCGGTGGCCTGCGTGGCGGGCTCAGTCCCGCTCCGCAGAGGGGGGCCTCCGGCTGCGCCACGTCCCTTCCCCGCACGGCGCAGGGTGGCCCGGCCACTGGCCGCACGGCCCCGCCGCGTCCTCGGGAGCCCGCCCGGAACCCACCCCGCGCCTCAGCCGGGCAGCGACCTCGCCTCGCCGCCACTGCGCATGTGCGCCGGGAGAACGCTGCGCGCCCGCTCGGCCAATCGGAGCCCGAGCTCCGGCCTCTCTCCACCTCCCTGCCCGAGCCGCTGGCCCTGGACCCGTCTCCATGGCAACCTCCTCCACCCATCCCTGAGACTCGCTCTTGGAGCCTGCTGCAAGGTGGGAAAACAAGCAAACAAAGCCCAAAAAACGTTATAAAGTTTCTCCGGCACGAAGGCGGGTCTGGTAGACAGCTTGGAGGAGTTTCTGAGGCAGCTCTTGGGAGTTGAACCCAGAGCCAACTTACCAGAGTAAATTGGATGCCAGACTTACTTGGCATTTAAAGACAGAAAGTCTTACAGTGCTGGTTCAGGATTTACTGTGCGTCGATATTCATCGTTAAATTTTCTGCGAGTCTTCTCCGACTCGGATGAGAGAAAAAGTAACGTTCTTTCTGATATATTTTTATTGGAAAGGCAGATTTACAGAGAGAAAGAGAGAGAGAGATTTTCTGTCCACTGGTTCACTCCCCAAGTGGCCGCAAAGACCAGAGCTGAGCGATCCGAAGTCAGGATACAGGAGCTTCTTTCTGGGTCTCCCATGTGGGTGCAGGGTCCCAAGGCTTTGGTCCATCCTCGACTGCTTTCCCAGGCCACAAGCAGGGAGCCGGATGGGAAGTAGAGTAGCCAGGATAGGAACCAACACCCATATGGGATGTTGGCGGTTGCGAGATGAGGATTTAGCTATTAGGCTACGATGCCGGATTGAGTAATGTTGTTTCCAAAATACACAGAAATGCACAAAGTTCTGGAAAACGCAAGAGTAAAAAAAAAAAAAAATCAGTTGTTTCTAGTATCTATTGCCCTGCTAACATCACCTCAGAACCAAGTGGATTTTCAAGAACAACTTGTTTATTATGCGTTTGGATTCTTGGGGGAGGAGCTCTTTTCTGCCGCTTAGTATCTGCAGCCTCTGTTGAGATGACTTTATTTAAAATATTTATTTATTTGAGAAGTACTTGGGCTGTACCTTCATTGTTTGCCCAGGCGCATTAGCAGGGAGTTGGATCCGAAGTGGAGCAGCCGGGACTCAAACTGGCAGAGGCTTAGCCTGCAAACCATGGCCAGTGGGGGGATGAGAAATTAGGAGACTACAGGAGTGTGTGTGTGTGTGGGTGGGGGGTTCTCTGTGACGAGCAAGCAGCTGATTGGGTGAGGCTTTGTGACGACAGAGCAGCTGATTGGGTGAGAGAGAGGGTTGCTAAGGTGACCAACCTGGACTCTTAGCAGCCCTCAGGGTGGTCCTGACGGGGAGCTGACCTTGTGCTTGTCACTGGCTCTTGCTTGGACAGTGGCCTCTGCAGGGTACACAGCCCAGGTTTCTTACCTAACCTGGCTTCTTCGTGGCCTATACCTCCCAGAGATCAGAGTCCTGTCAACGCTGATTGTTCCACGTTAGAGATAAGTTGGAAATGTCAGAAAATGCGAAGTGTGTAGGTAAGGGATTCCTGCTACAAAAAGTGGGGAGGTGGGAGTGAGAGGCTAGGGGTGGAGAGGGACGATGGGAGGGATGGTGTTTAAATGAGTTTTAAAATTTTATTTGAAAGAGAGGAAAAAATAGGTAAGGAAGATCTTCTATCTATGAATTCATCTCCAAAATGGCCACAACCTTCAGGACTGGGCCAGGTTGAAGCCAGGAGCCAGAAACCCTATCCGGGTCTCCCATGTGGGTGTCAGTGGCTGCCTTCCCAGTTGCATTAGCAAGGAGCTGGATGGGCAGTGGAACAGCTGGGACTCGAACAGGCTCTCATTGTGGATCGCCAGCTGCAATCTGCCGCACTATACTGCCAACCTCAAGTTTAAAATCTTGACAGAAGAAAAGTGTTCTGGACACCAATGATGGTGACTGTGGCTACAGTTAAACACTCCATGGAAAAGGAATAAGGAATTCAATATTTCTTAGACTTCAGGGATCCAAATTGGAAAGTCACAAACTCTGCAATGACATGATCTTATAAGTATAAAACCCTGGTTTCTGCTTGTACACAGGTATACAAATCCATTATATTTAGCAAATGAAATTGCAGTGATTGGACACAAATGTAGATTGCAAAAATCAGCTCCATTTCTATTTACTAAATGAGCAAAGTACATTAAAAGTTTCTTTTACAATAACATCAACCATTGAAATATGTAGCAATTGACTTCAGGAGGAAAAAGACTTGCAGACAAAACTAGGAAATATTGCTGAAAGAAATTAAATAAGATAAAAGCAAATTAAAACACAGCCAATTTTTTTAAAATAATGAATTTATCCTTTCTTTGATGATGTTTACATAGTTAAAAAGGATGTACGTCCATGTGGACCACCGACTAAGATGGGAGGGGTTAAGGAGTGTGGAAAAGTGGATGAGACAACTGCTTCCAATTTCCTTTTTCCTTCCTGTATCTTGGGAAAGAGGGGAAAGGGCAGACGGTGGCTCCCAGCAGCCCAACCACATCAGTATCTGGGATGGGGAGGGCTACCCAATCTCATCTCATATTCCCAGATGTGGATCATGGTCTGAGGACACTGCTCAGGTGGTTTTGATAATTCTGAGATGCTGTTGATTTTGTTGCTCTAAGGTTGAGCAAGTCTTTCCAAGTTCCATTGGCTGAAACAGTCCCCTATATGGCCTCAATTTGCCCAGATACTTACTGTCAAAGCTAGGTCAGAAGAGTTGTCCTATTTGTTCTGCCCTCCATGGTATTAGATGCCCTCTGCAGGCCTCAATGAACTTGTCATGTACGTCATGTACATCTGGGCATGCTGTTCACTGTACAGGCTTCAACAACTGAGAACACCCACTTCTGACATATGCACTCCTTGGTCAGCCCACGGATCCTGTGATTTTCACTGTGGTTGGAGTTCTGAGTCTAGTGATCCAGTTGTGTGTGCCAGCTAGTATAAGGTCCGGCTACACACACTAGTGGTTGCAGTCACCTGGTCAATTCTATCCCCAGTCCCATCTCATATGCAAACCAATGAATGCGGTAGCCCAGTCCCTCACACACTTGCACTCCACACACTTGACTCTCATGTACACCAGCAGGAACTTGAGCCTAGTCAGAGTGACCTCCGGAATCCCCACCAGGCTTGTCCCCAGCCTTGGTTCCTGTACATGCCATTATGTGCAGCAGACTGGTTTAGTGTGTCCTGTATCCCATTCGGCCTTTATACACATCAATGGGTGCTGGAACCTAAGTCAGCCTGAGCAACCCCACATTCCAGCCCACACTCATGTCAGTGGGTGCCACTGCCTGTCCAGCCAGGCCCCTCCCCAGCCCTAGTTCCCATACTCACTGGTGGGAAAAGCAGCCCAGCAGTGAGGGACCCAGTTTCCCTAATGGGCCCACTCCCAACCGCAGATCTTGCACTTTCCAGGTGGTTCTGCAGTCTAGCTTGACAGGACTTGCTCCCAGTCCCAGCACCTGCTAGCCAATGCTGTGGCAAAGCCAGATCAACGTGGACTTACTCTGGCTCATGCATGCACCAGTGGATATGGTGGCTTAGCCCTGCCTGGCTCTCACCGTAACCCAACTCACACATGCAGGTCAATGGGTTTTATAGCCGTGCCCAGCCTGGCCTGCCCCAATCCCAGCTTTCACATGCACTAGCACAGCAGGAGCAGTAGCCCAGCAGGGGAGTCCTTGCAGCACCCTTAACTAGGCTTGCCTCCCTGGTATGCAACTCCCGCCCCCCCCCCACCAACGTGTCTTATGTGTGCTGGTGGGAGCTACCACCCAGTCTGGCATGGCCCGCCTTGGCTCAGTATTCACTGATGGGTGCTGAAGTCTGGTTCAGACTGGTCTGCCTCTAGTCCCAGGTCATGCTACCGCCTAGGCTGGTCTGAACTAGCCCCAGTCCTGGTCATAATGTGGACTGGCTGGTGCTGTGGCCCAACCCAGCCAGTCCTGCACCCTGTCCTGGTTCTCATATCTGCCAGTGGGTATTATGAACTGGCCCAGCCTGGCCTACCCCTAGACTTGACCCACAAGTATGCCAGCAGGTAATGTAACCTGGCCTGGGCTGCTTACAGACTTGGTTCTTGCATTTAGCTGCAAAGACAGCATCCTGACAGATGAGTTCCCCAAGCTCCTCTATCTGGTCACCTCCCAGTGGCAGATCTTGCGCAAACTGCTGAGTTCTTAGCCTAACCTGACTTGCCCCATTTTGTGTCCTGGCAGGCACAGTGGTCTTGCCCAATTGTCCCACACCAATTCTGGCTCTTACTGTTGGGTGCTATAGCCCAGCCATGCCTTGCCCACCCTTAGACTCATGTCTCCCGTGGTTCAACAGGTGCAGAGACCTAGCTCAGCCTGTCCTATACCTACCCTGGCTCTTAGGAGCACTAGCAGGTGCTGGAGCCTAGCCCAGTTTGGCGTAACCCAGATCAAATCCACACCTATGCTGAGGGATGGTGCAGCCATGTCCAGCCCAGTTCTCTACCTGCATTCCACCTCTCTCACAACTGGGAACTGTAACTCAGATGGGGCATCCTTTAGCTCTGTGACCAGACTCATTCCCAATCACAGATCCTGCTTGTGCTGGTGGTTACTACAACACAGCTTGGAATAATCCATCACTGGATGCTGCAGCCTGGCCTGGCCTGGCCTGGTCCACCCCTAGTCCAACTCTTGCTGGTGGGTAATGCCGCCTAGTCCTGCCCATCCTGCCCCCATCCTGGCTTTCATGCAAACCAGTAAGTGTGATAGCCTAGCCTGACCTGGCAATGGCCCGCACCCCATTCTAGCACCTGCATGTGTTATGGTTTGGTCTGGCCATGCCTGATCTGCCCTCTACAAGGCAAACCCACACATCTGCCAACAAATGACGCAACCCTGCCCAACCTGAGCAACACCCAGC